GATTTCCATTAAAAGCTTCTGATTTAAAACGCTGGTTAGTGCCGTATAACTGCTCTCAAACCAAAGGGAGCCTTTTGTTTCTGTGGCTGTGATGTTTGCGGTCAGCAGAGCTAAACCATCATGTTCTGACATCCATGCTGTGGGATTCACAGGCTGTAGATTAAATTAAAGGGACGGAGGTCGGCTGCGGAACCATGTGTCCTCTTTGTAACGCAGAACCACTGCGGTGCGTGATGATGACACGGTCAAGCGCACACCCTAATGGGTCATCATTGTCTCCCAGCCAAGCGTGCAGCCTGCAGGTTTTATGGGGCAGGACTGTAAAATGGAGGCGGGGGGTGGGGTGGCATATGGGGAGGAAGTAGGAGGGAGATCAGTTACTTTGACAAATACGCACAAAGCACCGCGGCTCTTTGATGCGTGGAAATACAGCGGGTCGTAACTACGTTGACTTTTCTCACTTTCTACTTCTTTTTTTTTTTTTTCCCACAGTGCCGGCCCCCATCATAGGCGACGGGGCCAACTCCACCGTGCTGCTGGTGTCGGTGGTGGGCAGCGTGGTCCTCCTCATCATCCTCATCAGTGCTTTTGTCATCAGCCGCAGGTGAGTCCCTTCTGCTTCCTGTCTCTTTTTCCGTCCAGCTGAGGGACGTCTTCCTCAGGGGTCGGAAAAGCAGCTGTCAGGACCCCCCCACCCCCCCGGGCAGCTTGTTCAACCAGCTCACGTCGGATGAGTGATGACTCGCCGCACCGGAGGTGTGATTGACAGCTCCGACAGCTGAAGAGATGCAATCAGCGACCCCCTTGCTCCCTGTCTCCTCCACCTCCCCCCCCTCCTAGCTGTGGTAATCACGGCTGCCGGTTATTTTTTTTTCTCCTGCTGCTTTTCCGGCCGCCGTTTTAAAGAAAGAGGGAAGTGAGAAAAGAAAAAAAGAGGAGCGTGAGGCGAGGCAGCGGGATGAGCGGGGAAAGAAGGAGCCAGAATCCAGAGCGAGATGGAGGAGAGGCATCAGGTGGATCTGCAGTGACCTCATCTCAGGGCGCTAACCAGGCAGAGGGACAAAGCGCCGTCACGCAGATGGGATTACATGCAGATGGGCCGTCTCTCCTCAGGGTGTTAACCACGCTCCCTCTCTCTCTGCTGGTTTATTTAGACAAAAAAAAAAAGAGAAGTTGATGGTTTTCTGCACCTTATGGAGACTAAATCATTGGTTGTGTGTTTTTCCTGTTTTTCTCCATGTGACTCCCTCTCTCTCCGTCCCAGCAGGCGGTTGTCCCAGCCTTGTTTTATATGCATGTGACGGCCGCTGTTGTTTTGCTGCTGCTGCCAGAAAGCGATTGTAGAGAGTGACTGAAATTACCGTTTACCATCAACCGTTGGACACTCATCTCTGCATCAATATGAACGTATCAGGCTGCCTTTAAAAAAAGCTTCTTCTTCTGGATTGATTTAAAAACTCTCAGTTTAGATATAAATATTATTATCAGCTTGTAAAAACGTTCAGGTTCACCTGTTGTTTCGGACGTCTTTACTGTAACTGACTGGTAATTTAAAAATCCCATCTTTAACAGATGAATGAATGAATGTTTTCAATCATTTCAGATTATTTTCTACAAAATCGGATAATTTTTTTTCCCTTGACTTATATGATAAAAAATGACACTACATCACTTTGAAAGACTAGCTTTTATTTCATACCAGTGGTGCCACCAGTAGGGTGGCCACAGCCACACGGCGCAATGCCCTGGCCACCCCACTGGCCATCCCACTGGGCATCCCACTGGCCACCCCACTGGCCACCCCACTGGCCATCCCACTGGGCATCCCACTGGCCACCCCACTGGCCACCCCACTGGCCACCCCA